AGAGCGGCCCGGGAATGGAGCTGCCCGGCTGATGGCAGGTGCCTTTATTTCGCAGCTTGCTGGAGGTCTCGCTGAGCTCGGACCTGCGCACGCTCAACGTGCACTGTAACCGTATCGCCAGAATCGAAGGGCTTGGCCACCTTCGGAATCTGCAGCATTTAGATCTGTCGTCAAACCAAATCCGCCGGATCGAGGGGCTGAGTTCCCTGGCTAATCTGCGCACCCTAAGCTTATCCTGTAACCTGATAACAAAAGTGGAGGGTCTGCAATCTTTGTGTCTGTCCGTTTAGCGACTCATGAAGCTTTTCTAAGAGTTGTGTTAGAGCTTGCTTATAATTAAGGTTATATGGCGTTAGTATGAGCTACTAAGTGTATTATTATTTAAATTTTTGAAAGAGTATATAGTCTCTGTAAGCTTTATCATAGCAAAATGCCTTCATTTAGAAGGAAAACCTGGTTTTTATATTATGATTATAGTTTATTGTCATATTTGTAGTTATAATTTTTAAAGGCTTATTCTGCAGTTTTGATTTGATGAAAGTAGACCATTCTTCTGCAAATCTTACTGTTTCTTTTTTTCCTCATTTTGTTCAGGACTGGAAAAACTCTTTAATTTAATTGTACTGAATTTATCGTATAATCGCATCCATGATCTCTCTGGTAAGTGACTTTGGCATGTTTGGTGGAATAAAAGCATTTGCCTCACTTTTAATTTTGAAAAACTTGGCCAAGTGTATTTTTAGAAGTTTCTAGTAGCTCAGCCAATTGACTGAGTAATGCTACTAAAGGTGGTAATTGCTGCTACTCTCAGCTTTCAAGTTTCTAACATCAAGGGTTGTTTTGAACTGGAATTTATTCTCCTGTATTTGTCAAGGCCAAGCTTGTTCACAAAGTAGCATAGTAAACATTTCAAACTTATTTCCAAAGTGAAAAATGCAATAGTCTTGGAAGATATTTCCAAAAGATTCATATCTTTCCATTATATAGGACAAAAATGCAAATTTTGATGTGATATGGAAGTTCTTTTCTAAATCAGTTTGTTGAAATGGTCAGTTGTTGCTTCTGACTAAGATTTTAAGCTACAGAATCAAGGGAGTTTGTGACAGAATATTAAAAAGAACATTGGTAACAATTTTGTTAATGAACTAAGTTTTAAAAAGGAACTCCAAGCAAAATGTTTATTTTTACGTGCTTGTTAACAGTGAGAAAATAATCTGTTTCTTTGAAGTTAGCTCTCATAACTAGCTTAAGTGTTGTGCTGTACGGTAGTGTACCATAGCTAATTAACTTACGTAGACAAGGACATGGAGCAAAAGTTGTTGCATCAGTTCCAGTTATGATGTATTATTTACTGAATATTTTTCAACAAGATGCCACTTGTTCTAAACCCTATAGTCTAGGATTGTAGCAGAAATCATTATTTTGTTTTCTTAAATTTTCAGGATTTCAGTCCCTTCATGGAACCAGTCATAAGATTAGCCATATTGACCTTCACGGCAACTGTGTAAACAATATTAATCACTTACTTCAGTGCACAAAGGGGCTGCGCTGTTTGACGAGTCTGACACTGGAAAAAAATGGAAAAGCCAATCCAGTTTGTCACACAGCAGGTATGGCTCTCATGCTGGGTAGATACTTTGTGCTCATTAAGTCAGTGACTTCCCTTAAGCTGTGAGCCAGGTTCTGAAACTTGCAAATTCATTCATAAACTGGCGAGCCTGCAGAAATCTAAATTCTGTCAAAATTAATTTGTTTTCCATAAATTCCCCCCCCCCCCCCCCGCCGAACTCTAACAA